CTAAACTGTGGAATTGTGCTCTGCATACTTTTTCTGCTTTCACAAAAGTAATCAATTTCTTTCTCTTTAGTCAAGCTTTTGTAGAGTGAGTGGTTTTAGTAGTGCTTTTATGAGACAAGTAATTCTTCTAGCTTAAATTTCTTCAAGAAAGGATCATGAATGAAATTAAAGCCAGTCAGCTGCTTTTTGTAATTCTCATCTCTCTGAGCGATATCCCATATTTAGCATGATTTCATCCTTGCCATTTACATCCTCTCCTTCTGCCTATAGAAGGCAGAAAAGCAGCTAACAATTTAAAAAAAAGAACAATTAAAGTCTCATAAAAGCACTACTAAAACCACTCACTCTACAAAAGCTTGACTAAAGAGAAAGAAATTGATTACTTTTGTGAAAGCAGAAAAAGTATGCAGAGCACAATTCCACAGTTTAGGAGCAGGACAAGAGACTTTCTGTCTCTTTCCACCCAGCACAAGGCCTTTTGAAAATGAAGTGTTTTTAAATTCTCACATAGATTCAGTTCAAAACAGGTAATCCTTAAGATAGTTTGATTCCAAACTGCTCAGGGTTTTAACGTTTAAAATGTACATCTTAAAGTGTGCCCAAAAGACACCTGGCAACCAGTAAAGTCTTTCAAAATAGAAAAAAATGCTGTTGATATAATACATTTGGCTTCACTGGATTTACTCCCCCGACAGATCAAAAAGCCTTGCAGCACAAAGACCAACTGTAGATTAGAATTTCTCTAGGCTGAAATCAGTTTTTGAGACAGGATATTTCTATTTTATTTTCTTAAAAATCCAACAAGCTGGTAGGTTTCTCCAGTCTGAATACTTCCAGAAGTGGTCAGTCCTAACAGAGAACTATTTAGTGTTTCACCCTACAGTGAATAGGATGAAGGTAAACAATTGACACCAAAATAATTCCAGGCTTCCAGTCATCTTTACCAGCCCAAAAATGAGTAAGAGAATTTGTTAACTCTGAAACAGATCAATCTCGCAGCAGCCATCTTGTTTCTCAAGTTGTCACACAGTTCGGAAAGGGGGAGAGGATTGGAATGTGAACTAGCCAAAACAACTTACTATCTCATGGGAACCAAGGTCACTCTCAACAAGTGCCAGCCAGAGACTAAGACTGGTCATCAAAGAGACACCAGAACACCTTATTGGACAATGTGACCTGTGACACGAGGGGAGGGGGAATATCTAATGTTTAATTATACTGAAGCCACAGGAAATAACTAGGGCTGGTTTTAAGATCACCCATGCCGAAATAACTTATTTGGGTTCATTAGTTGGAAACTTGACAGAATGACTATGAAATGGGTGTCCAAGGGTTCCAAGTAGCACCCCTAATGAAAGAAGACTCAGACCTCATGTCATCGCAGCTGCAGGGCAAGATGTCCTTTATTCTCTGAAAAAGGAATGTTATTTAGACTATATATCTTTCATACTCCATATAATTCCCCCCTCCCAATTTCCTACAGTAAAAAATGTGGCAGGCCTGAAGGCCCAATGTAAAAGATGGCTTCCAAGCCTGGCAATGGGTTGATTCCATTGGTTTTGTTTTTCCTTTCACTTGCAAGAGTGAAAACCATCCACTCATCACTTTCCTTAAACATGACAATGGGGTTGAATTGTGCAATTATCTGGGATGCAGAATTTGGGCAAGTTTCAAATAGCAGATGTGACAGATTATAGATGCAGAAGTGCTCAGTACCTATAGTCTTTCAGCCAAGTTATTTCTGAACACAGTTCTGGTGCTTTGCTGAAAGAGTACTCCACAGGTTTAGTGCTGTTCAGAAAAAGCACTAAAACCACATCCAAAACTAGCCCGGGGAAGCGGGGGATGGCAGCTCAAAATTGCCATGCAAGGCAGATCCCAGTGACAGAGGGGCATATCTGATGCAATAGGCTAAAGGAGCCAGTAGGAGTTGGGCAGATCCAACTGTGTTATCAACCTAATCACCACTGAAGACTTCTAGTCCATATCCATGCAAAAATTCTGTTGGAAGAGGAAAAACTGGAACAACTAGACCTGACTTTATGTTGCTTTCATTGATGAATGAGAATGTGATGAAGACAACATGAAGACTATCATTTCAAAATATTTGCATGCAAATGCAAAAGATGACCCCAATAATGAATAGACCAAAATGTCTCAGGAGGAAAATTAATGCTTTTGTGAAAGTCTCCTTACTATATTTGCTAAACAAGTAGATAAAATTAATCGGTTCTCTTCTAAGGGTCTCACATTTTAATTTCAGCTTAGGCCGAGTCCCGAAAAGAGAATCCAAAATGATTCTGAATGGCAATGCCAGCCATTGCTGTTCACGTTCACAGTATCAGAGTCTACTTCTATTGCTGCAGAGAAGATTGTTTTTATTCTGAGGATTCATGCAGTTCCAAAAGAGTTACAGGCTTGCCTCAGAAGGCTTTCCAATAAATAAAACCAATAAATAAACAGGCAATAGCAAACAAAAAACACAAGAGAATGGGTACCAGCAAATTTCCAGCCCTTCTTTTCACCTGGAGAAGACATGGGCCCAGGCAAAAAAAATTGCAGCTCATCCATAACAAAGAGCTCAAGGCTGGATATGTTTGTTCCCACTGTCTGCTTTATAGCTTAAGATATTAGGCATTAAAACGGGGGAGTTGTTCAAACACCATTACTGACACTGCCGTTAACCCAAATAACAAATGTCTTCCATTGAGAAACCTCATAAAAACAGAGAATCCAATTTAAAAGCATTTCTGCTGAACGTGAGAGGCAATTTCCTTGCAACCATATGCCATGGCCCCAGCTTGCTGAATGTGAGATAAGCATGATGATTTCCAAGTTCTATTGGTAAATATCTATTATGCATTTCTTCTTGGGGTGTTAGTAGCCCCATTGCCCAGCCAATTATACAATTCCAGGGCTCTCAGGGTGCTGCTGAATGGAGTGAAGCCCAGTGTGTAAACGCCTAACATTTCTTCATTCTAAACAGAGCAGCAGATGTGTCAATGGCTCTATCTCTAGCTATAATAAAAAAATATTTTCAAGGCTTTAAGCATGTGCGTTTGTTCAAATGCTAACCGAGAAATATATGGGGAAACAATAGGCTCCAAGTGGTGGCATCGATGCTCTCTCTCTCTCTGTAGCATCATGTCCTGAATGCAGAATTGCCCCTGTATAGAAATATTTGGAATAAATAGTTAAGGCAACAGTGTGGGGAGAATGATGAGCAAGAAAAAATGTGATAGGAAAAGCACTCCTATAAATAGGTGACACCCGTCAAAACGTCTGTACATTTAAAGGTGCCATGTAGGACACATTGATTTGTCTGGTGTCAGACCGTAGCTACACGAAGCACATAAAAGACAGAATATTAGTCTTTAATTGTTGTCAATTCACCAAGGAGAAGGAGAAAAAGCTATTATTTTTGCTTGGTTCCAATCTGGCTACACACCTTTTTCCCTCAAAAAAGAGGCTGAAAATCTGGGTGCATCTTATACACTGAATACAGCATTTTTTGCCTCCCGAAACCCTGCCCCTTTACCAAAATGGTCGTGCATAGCCTTTAGGAGACTTTCAGAGGCTCCTGGGTGCTGGGGACAGCAGAAATGATCAAAAAATGGGCTGTTTTTTGCTCAATTTGCCCCCCCCCAGCCCACAGGAGCACTCTATAAGCCTCCAAAAGGCTATGCATGCCCTTTTTTTTTTGACAAAAAAACGGGCCGTTTTTTGCTCATTTTTGGGCCCCACCTCCCCATTCCTCAGGAACACTCTATAAGCTCCTAAAGGCTATTCATATCCTTTTTTTAAAAAAATGGGCCCATTTTCACAAAAAAACGGGCTGTTTTGGAGAGGTTTGCAGAGTGCAAAAACTTTTTTTTAATTTGCCTCTTCATAATATTGGTGCGTTTTATATTCCGGTGCATCTTCGAAAAATACGATATTCCTTTTCTTATCCTGAAAGAAGCACCAAAGCATTGTTCAATTCAATTCAATTCAATTGATACACTTGCTGGATACACAAAACACACTATTCCAAATATTGAACGGCAACTCCAAGAAACTCTAGGAAGCATGGCCAACAATAACCTCTTAACTACTATGATCATTCATTGGTGGATCCTTTAAAAAAAAAACTTTCTCCCTTGACCTAAACCCAGAACACTTTGATTTGCACTGTCCTGGACATTTATCCTGGTTCTCCCATTCCTCCCTGCGTCCCATCAGATCGCACAGGGTAGGCCTCCTCCGAATCCCATCCGCCAGTCAGGGCCGACTGGCGACTACGCGGAGGAGAGCCTTCTCAGTTGCAGCTCCGATGCTATGGAACAATCTCCCCGTGGAGATCC